ACTAAGCTCCCGGGGACTATGGAACATCTCTCAAAATGTCCTGTAACTGTGGTGAGTCACCTGTCCTCTTCTTCAGGGAGACTATGGAGACCCCACCAGATGGACTTGAACCAGTGTCCAGTCTACAAAGAAGAGGGTCAACACAGAAGAAGCATTCCCTCCATGCTTCCAAGTGCCAACAATGGTCGAGCAGGACCTTTGACTTATCTTCACATAGATGGAACTGGTAAAAGAAAGGAGCCAGGGGCTCTTCTCAAGCCCATGTTACCCCTGAGGAATAGATCCTCAAATGACCTTAAGAGTAAAAATAAATTGTTTTATCTAGGCCAATTGTGGAGTCTTAAACACCCAAAAGGAAAGTAAAACCAAAGACCCCATTAGGAGTCAATATAATTTCCTTAAGAGTCCATACATATAGCTAAAGGCTACATAACAAGAAACAATGCCAGACAGGAGATACCTTCCTTTGAGTTATTGGCCAGAGTGGCCCAAAAGACTCCCAGGCAGTAACCCAGGAAAATGAACAGCAGACCCCAATCTTATCTAAAGGAATATTGGGAACTGATTGCTGCTAGATGAAGAACAGCTCATCTTCCTAAAACAAGGATCTCTAGATAGGCTGACTAGATTCAGCAGACAGACAAGCACTGGGGAGTGGCTGGGGGTGTGGATGGTAACAGGGATGTCAGAGTTTATGGGCTCCAGTGTGCATGGGGGGAGGCTATGGGAGGATGTCATTTGGGAAGTGGGTGCATAGATGAATAAGATTGTGTGGGATATTCTGTATGATATACATATAAAAAATCTAAAAATTTTTAGAAAAGACATATTTGAGGAGGAAGCATAAAAAGTTACTTCATGTTAAATAGTAGAGGTGATAAACATTACCAGTGAAATCTGCCTGATAACTTTATATCCATACTCAGGCACTAAGGATCTGACTGTAACCAACTGTAACAATCAAATACATAGAGATTAAGGACACATGTGCAAACACCTAAGCATTAGTAGCATTAAAAATGTAGGAAACAACATATTTTAAAATGAAATGAGGATCTTCTTTAAAGGATAAAAACTCATTCAGTTTTATGTGTTACAGGGTTCAACACTGTATAACTATTTTAATTGAACTGTGAACCTAAAAATTTACAGCCACTTTTGAAAGAGATGTATTCTTGCTCTGGAATGTGTTACTGCATATGTTAAAGCTGTAATGAAATGCTTATTCTAAATAAAAAACAAAAAGAAGTCCACATAATAATGCAAAAAAAGAGAGAGTCTTTCTGTAAGAAACAGTACATTTTAAAATGAAATGGAGATCTTTTTTAAAGGTTAAAAACTCATTCAGTTTTATGTCTTACAGGGTTTATACTGAGTTCAATATTGTATAACTGTATTAATTCAACTGTGAACTTAAATTTTACAGCCACTTTTGAAAGAGATGGATCTTTGCTCTGGAAATTGTTATTGAATGTGTTAAAGGTCTAAAGAAATGCTTTTATTAATCATGTGGTTATTAAACACATAAAATTAAAAAAAAAGATGACATGAAGTTTGGAGAGAGACTTTTGAGATGGGAGCGTTGAGTGGGTACAGGTAGTATATTGATCAAAATGTCTCGTGTATAACTATGAAATTATCAAAGAACAAATAAAACATACTATTTTAAAAAATTGAGAAAAAATTCATAAAGCTAAATGGATCCAAAGAACACTTTGAGTTCTTTCCTTGAATTGATGGAAAACATTGCACATGAAAGCCAGACTTGAGGACAAAGGAAGTTCTGAGGATAAAACTCCATGAGAATTTGGGGCTGGAGAGATCTCTCAGTAGTTAAGAGCACTGGTTGCTCTTCCAGAAGACCCAGGTTCAATTCTCAGCAGCACCCACACGGCAGCTAACAACCATCTGTAGCTTCAGTTCCAGGGGAATCCATGCCCACTTCTGACTTCTGTGAGCATTGCATGACATGGTGCACTTATACACATGCAGGAAACACACTCATACACATAAAATAAAAACAATAAATAAAATATTTTTAAATCCCTGAGAAATAGTCAAAATTACAGGGTTAATATCAGAGGGTTTTTTAAATATCTTATTTATTATTTTTATGTGTATGAGTGTAGTGCCTGCATGTATGTGAGTGCACCCATGTCATGCAATGCCACAGAGGTCAGAGTTTTTAAAGGTTATTTTTATTTTATGTATATGTGTGAGTGCCTACATGTATGTGTGGGTACCACATGTGTGCCTGGTACCTGTGTAGTCTAAAAGAGGGAATAGGATCCCCTCCATCTGAAGTTCCAGGTGGTTGTGAGCGACGACATAGGTGCTAGGAACTGAATCCTGGTGCTCTGCAAAGAGAGGAAGTGTTCTTAACCACTGAATCTCTCTAGCCATGAATTTTAAGATTTATGTCCAAGTGTCTATATGATTGTATGTACACATGCGTAGGGGTATGTATGTGTGTAGGACAGAAGAGGGCATTGGATGTCCTCTATCACATTCTGCACATCTTTGAAGCACAGTCTCTCTCTGATCCTGGGGTTTGCATTTTCTCAGCTAAACTGGAATCCAATAAGCCCCAGAGGCACTCCTTTCCCCACCCCACGTTCGAACTGAGGTTTGAAGCATTTGTGGAGCTGCCAAGCTTGTTATGTGGGTGCTGTGACCTGAATCCAAGGCCTTATGACTGCAGAGAAAGTCTTAACTCCTGGGCCATCTCTCTAACTCCCAATCTCAGATTTTAATTTTTTATTTTGATTTTTCAGACAGAGTCTCCCTATAGCCCCAGCATGCCTGCAATGTGATATGTAGGCCAGGCTGTTCTCAATCTCACAGAGATTCACATGCCTTTCCTCCCATGTGCTGGGATTAAAGGCATGTATTACCCAAAGGACCACAAAATCAGTCATTAAAAGACCTCAAGTCAAGATCTACGAGTGAGAAAAAGAACCAGGAAATACATGAGTTCTGGGTGGAAAGAACAGAACACGAAAAAGGAAGAGCAGGAAAGGTTGAAAGGAGGCATCCTGAAAGCTGAGGAGGGAGGACGACCTGTGGGGGCTGCCCCTGCCCCTCCCCCACTCGGAAGCCCTTCTTGATGAGGACACCCAGTTCTGTGGTGAGGATTCTCCAGCTTTATGACATGCTTTGGGTGGGTTAACCTTCACACCCAGAGAGAATTCCAGGGTGCAGGGAACAACAGTGTGATTCAGATGGAGAATCTTTTCTCTCTGCTAGAAAGTGTATATGCCACATGGCTGGGCCCCAGCACCACTACATGGGCAAAGGACATGACCCTTGCCTTTGCTTGTGGCATAGGGCTCTACCTCCTGGTACTCCCCTACCTTGAAAGGTATCTCCTTTCACCCCCATCAAATATAAAGAAGAACATCGGAAAGGTAAGATACTCTCAGACAACACAGGATTCTCTCTTTCTCTCTCTCTCTCTCTCTCTCTCTCTCAATTTTTTAATTAGCATACACAGAACTAGGTTTCATTCTGGAATTTTCAAACAAAATATCAAAATATATTCATATTGATTCTCCCCAGCTCTTCTTCCCCATCTCCCCTCTCACCTTGTAGCCTACTACAGCCCCCACAGTCCCTTTCGACTTTCACTGTTACACCTCCCCTTCCTCAGCACCACCTTTTATTGTAATTTCCACTTTTCCAAATCGAGTAGAGAGACAGCTGGGGGACAATCTGTGGAAAGAGGAGAATCTCATTCTCCTTTATATGTTTTCTTGTTTCACAGTCTCAAACTCAAATGAACTTGCAGAGCAGGTGTGGGAAAAAGATTGAGACTATTTCCAGGAAAGAACTCAGTACTCACAGCTCTGCAGATTACGAGACAAAGCAGAAGGTAAAAGAGAGCGATGAATCATTTCTACAAGAAATGAGCCCAGGACAACAGTTGAATTCTTCAGAGAGCATGTTAAAATCACTAAGTACCACCCCACCATTCTTCTGGGATGCGAGAGAAAACCAAGAACAGCAGATAACCACCCAGAAACTCTCATATCCTAGTATCTTGGGGGACCAATTTCAACAAAAATATAGTCAGCTTTTCTGGGGCCTCCCTTCCCTGCACAGTGAATCTCTAATGGCCGCTTCCTGGATCCCTCAGGGCTCTTCTACTCTATCCTCTCCCTTCTTCTTCTTCAATGCCATCTCCAATGTTTATCCTGTTCTGAGGCAGGATGAAATGTCCCCAGTGCTCTCCCAGGCACATCGCCTGCCTTACCTGGAGCTCCAATCCTCAACTTTAATTCTGTCTTCATCCCAGTTCCTGCACCCACCTCTGAATCAGGCCCAGAGTCATCAGGCCCACCTCCAGTCCTCTCTCCCAGCCCAACTGTCTGCTTCTCTACCCTACACTACGGACGCTGGAACATCCTCCTGTCAGCCAAGCAGTAAAATGCAAGGCCTCCCTGCTGAAATCCAACACAAAGAAAAACAGTTGTTTAAGAAACAGCTAGAAAGTGGGTTGGCTTTACCCTGTGTGGTCCAGAGACCTCAAGAAGTCTATGTCTTGGCCCCCAACCTTTCCCAAAGCTTGGCAGTGTCGGTCGTTCCTGACAATTTCCCAATCAGCCCCGAGCTCCGGGCAAAACTAGAGGAACATATTCAAAAATGGGTCAGTCAACACCAACGGCACTTGCCCCCTAGTATGCAAGAGTCCCTGGAAAGGAGGCCTCCTCAGAAGAAATTAATAGAGGCATGTCTTGGTAGAAACATGTCTGCCCTCTCACAACCCTTAGTGTCTAGGAGCGAAAATAGCAGAGATGCCCAGAAGGTGAGGCTCCAGGTAGAAAAGGAATCTGGCAAGAATCTGGAGCCTATTCTGGAAGAGATCCCAAAGGATCCACCTATAAGCTTGGTAAAAGCACCAGTGAGAGCTCTGGAAGTATGCATTCTTGGGCTAGCAAGAAATCAAGAGAAATATGTGATGAGAAACCAAAAACATACAATAAAATACAAAAATGTAGAAAACACCCTGAAAGCCCATTTGGACACAAAATCAGAGCAGATCAACAAAGGCCTGATCCCTTTGAGTGTCCGTCGATCCTGGCTTTTAATGAACAGTGGTTTTTCCACATCTGACACCCGTATAGAAACCAGAAATACAACATCTTCAAAGAGTTTAGAAAAGCTCTCAAGCTCTTCTCAGAAGCTAACCTTTCTCAATCCAGGTACCCGGCAGGCCCTGGAAGCACATGTCGTAAAATTTCGGGTGAAGCGCAGGTGGGGCCTTCCCCTCAAAGTGCTGAAGCCTATAAAGCTCCTTAAGTCCTTGCCCCTTGCTCAGCCCTCCCCACGCCCCTGTTTATCTGTGGCCAAGTCAGCAGTTGAGTCGGCGAGGTTCCCAGGAAAACCATCTCAGACAAGTTTGAAAGAGGTGATAATAGAGTCATCATCTTCACTAGGGAGTCTGCCCCTTCTCTCTCCTTCCTGTAAGGAAATCGAGAGGGCCCTGATAGGGATTCCATCTGGTACTGACCAAGAGCCTTTGAAAGCCCTCCCAACCAGAACAGACACTCTTACTCATGGTGCCATGGGTATGCCTTCTCAGAGGAGGACTTCAATAGGGGCAGAGAAAGAGAGTCAAGAAGTCCCTTTAGTGCCTAGAACTAGTTGCCAAGAGCCAGGAGCACCCATCCTTCAGGCAAGAGCTGTCAGTGAGTTTCCATCTAGAGTGGAGAAAGAGTCAGGAGGCCAACTGAAAGTCTATGCCACTACTCTGTTCCTTCCAAACTATTCTAAGAGCGAGCTCCGTACTACAGGTACTTTGGCTTCACAGATGGAAGGTGACATTATGGTGCAACATGTTAACAATACCCTAGGACAGCAGAAACTCACTGTCCCAAGCCATCAAGTCTCACAGACAGACCAAGGCAAGGTATTGGTCCTGACCAATCAGGGTGAGGACAATAAGAGACCCAGTACCCCAAAGAATCAGAACTCACAGGAGGGCCAAAGCAAGGTGTTGGCCCCGACATGCCAGGGTGAAGACAGGAAGAGAAAAAAAATGGGAAAACATGAGGAAATGTCCAAATTTACTAGGGACAGGGAAAAAGAAGACAACTTTAAAAATAAATACCATCAGCCCCGTCCAAAAATGATAAAGGTTCCTCCAGAAGGCCCCTTCCAAAAACTCGTGAGCTGCTTTCTTAAATGGATTCATCCAAATAAAGCAGTCAAAGGAGAAGAAAAACCCATGACAAAAGGTACCCCCAAGAGCCAAAGGGAACCACGGGTGGACGGCAGCATTGCTGAGGCTCAGGAGCTCATGACAGCTGTCGGAGAGATTCTAGAAAAGAAAATGATGCTTCAACGTCAACTCTGTTCTTCCAAGGTCAACCAGCACACGGAGGCTCCTGCAGCCCATGTCTCTCACGTTTCCTATAGCCATGGGCCTCTCATCTACTCAGAGCAAAGGAAAGCACCAGGTTACATGGCCAAGTCGTCCTGCCAGAGGTGTTCTGTCCTGGACAAGCAAGTCAGAGACCAGCAGTCTCTGAAAAATTCCCGATTCAACAATGAGCAACAGGCCCCACAGAATCCCAGACACCTGCCCTCCAACAGGCCTTTGAACCTAGTCAATCTCTCTCAAAAAGGAAGAGTGGTGATGCCAAGCGTCTCAGGCCAGTATTTCTACTGCCCAAGGCACTGTGTCTTCAGAGAAGTGGTGATTCCAGTGAAGCAGAACATTCCTCTCTGGCCTTTTCTAGTAGGAAAACATCAGAAAGAAATTTAGTCTGTGTAAAGACAAATTATCTTTCTCCTGTTAGTACATTCAAGATATTTCATGTAGCCCTAAATATATGGTTTTTTCCCCTCAAAAAAAAAATATATATAAAGAGTTAGGCAATTTGGGAGTTGTCCTAGTTTGTTTTTCCATTGCTGTAACAAAAGACACTGACCACTACCAACTTGGAGAGGAAAGGGTTTATTTGTCTTACATTTCCCAGGTCACAGTTCATCAGGGAGCCCCAAGTAAGAACTCAGGGCAGGAACTTGGAGGCAGGAGCTGGAGCACAGGCCATGGAAGATCACGGCTTACTGACTTGCTCCTCTGGCCCCTGCTCAGCCTACTTTCTTATGCAACACAGGCCCACCTGCCCAGGGGTGGCACCACCCACAGTGGGCTGGGCCCTCCCACATCATTCAACAATCAAGCATGTGCCCCAGTGAAGGAAATTCCCCAGTTGAGGCTCCCTCAACCCAAGTGTGTCAAGTTGACACTAAAGCTATCTAGCACAGGAGTCTTTTAGATAGACCCACTGAAGGGGTACTACAATTGTATCACCCTGCATCCCTGTTCAGCATGGATGAAGCCAGAGCAGTCTGCGTCCCTATTCCCTATTGGCAATTTGGGTAACCCCTTCAGAGGATGGTGTGATAAGAATAGGAAGTAGGAATTAGCTAGGCAGTTAGGGTAAAAAACCCCAAAGAAACGTAGCCAGTTTCTTGGCTAAAAGTCAAAATGTTCTTGGGCATGATACAAACATATTCTGTTCCAAAGCCAAAAATATCAAAAGTATTTGGGAGCTTGTATCTAATCCTTAAAAAATTTTAGGGTTACCTCTTCAGAGGGGGGAATGTTGGAGGGAAGGGAGTGGGCATGGATTTATGGATTTGATCAAAACACATATACATGTATGAAATTCTCAATAAAATTTTTGTAAAAGTTAAGAAAAGAAGATGCTGTGTTAGTATAACCAAAATACAGACAAAAATCCTGTTGCTGGGTATAGCTAAGGATCCACAAAACTGAATACTTATTATTTTTAAATTTAATATTTTAAAATTCATCATTTTTAGGTGATATGATACTTTTAGATCTTTGTGTGCAGGGGGTGAGTGTGGCAGTCAGAGGTCAGCTTTGGGTATTGTTCTTCACAAGCTGTCTGCCTTGTTTTTTGAGGCAGGGTCTCTCATTAGCCTAGAGCTCAGTTTGTACAATCACAATAGGCTGGCATGGCTAGTTGTTCCCAGGAATCTACCTGTTTCTTCTCTAGCACTGAGATTAGCATGAGCTGCCATGCCCAAGAATTTGACAGGGGCTCTGAGTTAGCTACTCAGCACACCTTTTCTTAAATTCTGACTCAAAGAAAGGCCATCTTTGTGGAGCTTCTCCCGCTCTAACAAATCTCACCTTAACCCACTTCTATGTGGCATGTGCCATCTGGTGTTGAGCCTAGGAGTTAAAGAGAAAAAAGTTCTTGTAGTGAGCATGAAACTGTGACAAAGTCTGGAAGTCTCACAAGAGTAACCAGCTCCATGATGATTTCAAGAAGTTCCCATACCCTACAAGGATTGCAGAGCATTGTTTCAAAATCTCAAAGTCCATGTGGCTATGATAAAACACGTTCTAAGGTATGAAACTCAGCATAAAAACTGGAGTCCCTTGCTCTCAGCTACTGGTTATTTATATAGCATTTATGTTTATAATATGTGTACTGCATAAGTTCCAGAAAGGGCAATTTTGTAAGTAACTTGAGAAACCAGTATAACGTATCTGGGAATAAGAATATTATATCCAACATCTGTAGTTAAATGAAAAGCAAGAAGATAGATTTCTGTGGAGTCAGCTTCCCTGTTCTAGTCAGATTTCATAAGTTAAAATTCTTGTAGCCAAATGAAACTAAATCATACTTAAAAAATATGTGGTTGGTTTAATGAAATCTTTGAAAGGTCTGTTCTAAATGATAGTATTTTCCTATGCCTTTTCTCTCTAAAGGAATCTTACATCTACATGGACTTCTTTACTGATGAGTTATATTTTTTTGGTGATGGTCCCTAAATATTAGAATATTTCTTATAAGAAGAAAAATTAGTGGCCAGTGAGATGGCTCAGCAGGTTGAAGGATAAGAGGATATAGTTTGCTCTAAATTAGGCAGATAGTCTAATCTGGGGAGGAGGGAAGGAGGCCCCAGACTAGATTCAGTTGCGTTCTGATTACTTTCACTTACATCCAAGACTTCCGACTTTGGCGTTTTTGTTCAAAGTTGGCCCTTTTGGAGGATTTCACCCACTTTACCTCCCCCAACTCGGCCTGACACCTGGCTTCCTCTGGCAGGAATTTCAAACTTCCTGCCCATGTTTTACCCCATCAGGTTCTTGCTTTCATATGCATGAACTAACCATCATCATGCATCATGGCCTGTCCAACAAAGGGAGGAAGGGTAGCCCAGTCAGTCCTGTCCCACCTCTTATCCTATGGAATATAATAAGCCCAGACTCTCCAGGGAGCAGACAGTCCTCCAGTTCTGGGCCTCTTCCCCTCAACCCTCATAGACAGTCTGTATCTTTGTGTGCTGTGTGGAGTGTTACTTTTGCTTTAATAAATTTTGACTGTGTGCCATGACTGCAAACTTATCGTCTTAGAATTGTCTTATAATTTTTCACCTGTGGAAGAAAAGGACTGCAAAAAGACCCTAGGCAGCATCAAGGTAAAAGAGAGCGGATGACCCGAGTTCAATACCAGAACCTGCATGGTGGAAGGAGAAAACTGACTCCTGAAAGTTGTTCACTGACCTCCATTTACACACTGTGTCACATGCACCCCTCCCAAATAAATGAATAAATGTAAAAAAGAAAAAAGAAATGTAAAAATAAAAATTAATAAGTAAAAAGAATATGCTTTTACCATCTCACTGAGCTCTGTTTAAGGGACCATAGTACAGACAATTACATAGCTACACTCACAAAAGTACACGTATAATATGTGGCAAGGTAACAGCGTTAGTTTGGTTAAAACGTACAACAGCAAAAGAAAATAACCTGATTTTGTCTGCTGATGAATTAATAAAACCTACAAGACCGTCAGCACATTTCTTGATGTATGGAACAGAAATCTGTGGTAAGGAAAGTCATAAAAATGCCTCCACTAAAGCCTAATCATGTCACTCAGTGTTTCTTCTGCCCTAAAGCTTCCAGTACCCGCAAAACTCACATACTAGGGATCACATATGACAGAAATTGTGGCAAGAGTGAGTGAGAGTTTCCCCAATCCTGAGACTCCCTCAGCCTTTGGGATGTGAGGATTATTTCTTAGTCCATCAGTCCCTTAATAACAGCAACAAAAAATCATAGCAGCAGCAGCAAAATGTTTTCCAGTTCATCCCTCTTTCCTGTAATAAAAGTTTTCTTGTAATGCGTGCGTGTCTTCGTGACATGAGTATACAAGCCAACAAGATTTGTTTTGCATTCCTGGTCTATGAACAAAACACAGAGCATCCAACATCAGATTCTTGGGTTCAGTCTACAGCCTACCTTCCCTGCAGGCACTCACAGAGAGGGTGAGCTTTGGGAACCAAACTGGAAAGTGACTCTGAGAGCAGTTGATGAGTTTCGCCACATTGCTTCAGTGTCAGTCAAAGCCAACCACACCTTCTCCTCACCCACCCCCAGCATGGCAGAAAATAAAATTACTGACCAATTCTAGTCACATCTTTCAAGATTTTCCATGAGATTCCCAAAGTAATTGTAAGTGAAATTCGTAAGAGGAAAAAGCGCCATGATTAGGCGGGTGAACATCAGCGTGTGGGCAGAATTGAGCTGAGCCCTTTTTCCTGTAGAAGAGCTGATCAGAGGGCCTGACAGCTGGAGTTTACATGATTGTTGTACAATAACACAGGGCTAGAGCTACCTTTGCTGTGTTCCACATGTCAAGTGCAATTTTGAAAACTTCCTCTTCTTTATGAAAAATATGCTCTTTTCATAAAAAGAGATGATGGATTCACCATACAAGTGGCTACATTTCCACAGAATTCACTGCTCATAAGAGATTAAAGAGAAATTAAACCTATCACATATAATTAAAAAAGAATGAAAAAAGCCCATTGAAGTTTAATGGCTGGGTTTAAGAGAAGCCATATACAACATAGCTGCCCTATGACGCCTGTGTAAATGGGTTGCAGGGCGTGTGGTTGAAACTCAGCTGGGAGCTCTGTGATACTTTGAGAAGAAAGAGCTGAATGCACACTGCTTTGTTGAAACTATCAGAAATCCTAACAAATCTGATATCGTCAATGCCAAAGACAGCATTGGGAAATGCAGAGGACAAAGAATTGTAAATTGTAAATTGTGCAATACAATCAAATCACAGCGCCTGTGAATTTGGCCTGTTTTTCTGTGCTCTACTGTTTTGAGTGAATGAAGAGATAAATTTCCAAAATAAAATTTTCTTCATTTTACCAGTTAATCCTAGTAGAAACACCACACTAAGCCAAAGGGAGTTGAGTCATATGTTCAAGGTCTATAGAGAGGAAAAATAAAATGTCATTCAGGAAGATTCAGTAAAATTGACTTTCGCAAATGGAGGAGGAATTAAGTTTTTTCCCAGATTAGCAAAAGTTGAGAGAATTCATTGCTATTAGATCTGCTCTACAGGACAGCTAAACAGAGGGAGTCTCTTGAGTTCAAATTGTGGAGAGTGAAATAGCTGTTGGAAATGAGAGGATCTCTACTAACTGACACCATGATGTAGCAGGTGACTTGACTGCTGGCCTGATCAGCTCAGTGCTGGAGTGCTGAAGGTCTTCCTGTTTTCTGTTTCTGTTTCTGCTGTCTGGCAGTGAAACACAGGTTTGTGTTTGGAAACAAAATTGCACCAAGAACTATGGGATCTAACAACAAATCTGGATTAAAACTGATATTTATAGAGTACATGTGTGGGGGTTGTGATCCAGGAGCAGCACTTTGCCAAAGCCACATGTCAGTCATGTTTGCAAATCCATTGAATGGATGAA